TGTCCGAAATGGCGGCTGACATCTTAGCTATTCCTGTAACTACAGTGGCATCTGAGGCTACATTTAGTGCCGGAACTCGAGTTATTGATAGCTATCGTGCTTCTCTTCATCCAGATACGGTTCAAGTGTTGTTATGTGCAGGGGACTGGTGTGGAAAGCTTCACGGGATCTCAAAGAAAGTGAAAGTAAGTTTTATTGTTTTATCATTCAACTTTTGTGGCCAAGTTCAACAAGTTATGACTTCTTTTCTTTCTAAATTATTTGCCTTGGGTGGTTTTTATTGGAAATGCAGCAAGCTAAAATAATCAAAGAAATTGAATTGCCCAAGATTTGATGGTCTATTGCAAAGGGCTCATTTTGAATTAGGTTTGGCATTGTGGTTATCTAGAGTTCTCGATAATTTTGTACCTTAATTTGATTCATTTTTTGTCTTTGGTGATATTTGATAGGACTTATATTTTTTTGGTTGGCAATAGGTGTTAGAAACTTGGAATTTTGGAATCTGAACTCTATGCAGTTAACATCGCAATTGACTTGTCTCAAATTTGTACAGCTATAGTGAATTTGGTGACTTTTTTACTCAAGCGAATGTTGACACTTGACAAGCTGTGGTTGCCAGTTGTGTTTTGACTTTTTTGACTCAAATCTGTACAACTTTGGTGAATCTGGAGATTTTTTTGACTGTTGACAAGCTGTGGCTGCCAAGTTGTGTTTTGGCTTTTGACTTTGGACTCAAATCTGTATAGCTATAGTGAATCAGGTGATTTCTTTGACTCAAGTGAATGTTGTATAGCTACTACCAGGTTGTATTTTGATTTTTGACTAAAATCTGTACATGAGTTGCTGTATAGAATCTTGGCAATGGATCTTAATAGAATGTTGTATAGAGAACTTGATCTCAAATCGTACAGAGTTCAGTGTATTGTGACTAAATGCTATTAATATCAAGTTCTCTATTTCTTTTGCTTACATGGCTATTTTGGCTATTGAGAAACTATCATTTTTTCTATCATATTAACTAGTTTGATACTGTTGCTTTTAGAGTGCTTGAATCACATGGTTGGCATTTGCGTTGAAATGAAGCAAAATGCATGTTTTAATATGAGTTGCTATATTGAAGGATAGCACAGTTTTTTGCGCTCAATTTTTGCTGAATTCTGGTCTAGAAAACAAATATTTTCAAGCTCATTTTACGAGCTTAGTTCGAGTACTCGAGCTCGAATCTTATACGAGTTCGAGCTCGAGTTCGAAGTTTGAGGCTCGTTCGAGCTCGAGCTCGAGCTCGAGCAGTACTCATAACCTTCGAGCTCGAGCTCGAGTATGGTACTACTCGAGCTCGACTTGGCTCGACTTCACCCCTAGATGCACCCATGAGGAGTTCAATAATGTGTGGCCCAAAATGCTCCAAAAGTCAACTAAGGATAGTGCGCGTATACGCGCGCTTCGTGCTCAATTCCTTTCGAGTTCGTTTCACTAGTGCCCTAAACCTCTAATGTACTTTCATTTACACTAATATTATTCATTCTGAATAGTCTAAACTAATAGTCTAAAATTCCTCAATTAATCGCGCGGGTAAAAACGCGCATTTCCAAATTAAGCGCGATAACGCGAGACCTCCAAGAAATTTTTATAACGATAGTACTAATGACTATCACTTGAGTATTTAAACATAAAATTACCTATTTTAAAACCATTGTACAAGTCTCCAATTTTTCAAACTTATTGTACCCTCGATCGATTAAAATTTCCAAACACCTTTTCACTATTTTCACTAAACGAGCTTCCAAAATTTAATTTTTGAAACAAGTCACTTTAAAAATATAATGAAACTATAATTCCATGTATTTAGGTCTAATAAGGATAGAAAATAATATTCGGGGCCATTGGCCAAATAAATAATTAAATAATCTCGTAACAGGAGTTTAAAATAGGTAAATTTGTGAGTTCTTACATGAGTCGAGTATTAATTCCTCAATTAACTTTTCTTAATCTACTATTAATCATTCTTAATTCTCCAATATTAATACACTCCCGATTCAAGTATAGCCTCGAAAAACGTGCACTCGTTGTTCCAAACTAAACGAATTTTTTTGAAAAGTGAACTTTCCAACAAAACGCTTTAAAAACATAAAAGAGACGCTGTTCCATCTAAATGGATTTAAAATGGTCGAAATAAATAATTCGAAGAAAATGAGTGAATAATTATTTAAATAACCCGGTAATATTCTATAAAAATAAAAAATTTTCAGGTCCTCACATTAAGTTTATGTTCGCGAACAATCGTTTAAACTCTCGAACTCGCTCATATTCATTCAATTACTTATTGAGTCAAAATATTTGTTTGAACTCAGCTCATATACATCTTCGAACGAACCCTTATTGAACACGAATGAACCTAAACAAGTCGAACTAATGAACAGTTCGATTCGTTTAACAGCTCTAATAAATTCAGACGTGCAATATGCGTGTTACCTCTTACTTTAATTCCTAGTGACTTATTCATTATTACTAAAGAAAATGTTAGTAACTATTTAGAGTGATAACTAATGAACACAAGTAAAGAAATACAGCAACAAAGATGATCGTCATGAAACCAAGAATGATGTAATAAATCTCCAATAGTAGACGCAAAAGGAAAAGACAGAAAGTTATCATGTTTTATAAATCAAGTAGTTCCAAAATCTTTTTATAAAAAAAAAGGGCTAATCGATTAAACTATCAAATTAAATAATAAGACCTAAACATGGACGCTCCATGTGTTGAATATTTGCTTACTAGGAAAAAAAGAGAAATCCTTTGCTTCTTTGCTTGGTGGAAAAAAAATATATATATTCAAACTAACTGCTTCGCCTCCTGGTTAAAAGAGAATACACTAGAAGAAAGCCTATTCCTCTTGACTCTGATGGACTCCTTGTATAGTATTAGCCCATCCAAGTAGACAAGGAATTAGGGATGGCAATGGGGCGGGGGACCCCTCCCCCATCCCCCACCCCGCTGCCTACAAACTCCCCCCGCCTCCCACTCACCCCGCCCCGCCCCACTTCCCCAGCGGGGGCACCCGCGGGGTTAATAAAATTTTTCCCCGTTGGGTTAATAAAATTTTATTATAGTTAAATTTTAATAAATAATCAAGTACTAAAATATCAACACATCATCAAGTTATTATTCATTTTAATTTTACAATTGAAACTCATAAAAACAATCAAACAAAAGTTATTTGAATACAATCCAACATGATGAAATAAATACAACTAAAATAGTTAAGTTTTCACTTTTGGTACAAATACAATCACTAATTCATTATTGTGTTTGTGCTTTTTTTTGAGAAAAAAAGTGTGATTCTATTAAGTGTAATTAGAAATTTAGTATAAATGTATTAGTAAATTTAGTATAACTAATTAATAAATTCTATAAGTAGACATGTCTAATTATTCGTATAATTGATAATATCAATTATATTACATACACTAATATACATTATATAATACATCTAACTAATAATATCATTATCATAAGTTTATAACTAATTAATATAATTTTTTTTTTGCGGGTGGCGGGGCGGGGGATGGGGCTGGGGTATACTCCCCCGCCCCCGCCCCTTTTCTAAACGGGGGGAAAAAATTCCCCCCCCGCCCCGAGAGCCCCCCGCGGGGCGGTTGCCCATTGCCATCCCTACAAGGAATGCTCTTCAATACTAAACAATCAAGTAAATGTGAGCAAATCTTTTTTTTTTTAAAATATATTTTTGCTTGCTTGATTAAGAGCTCGACTGTTTGATATTTTTGCTTTTCATTTATATAAATTTCATTATTTTTCCCCTTGTAATTAACTCTGGATTGTTGTAAAGTCCTTGTACTTTTATACCATATAAATTAATTGAGTTTCAAATCTATCTATTTAAAGAAGAAGCCTCCATAACAACTAGGTAAATGGAATTCTATTCTATTTGGGGATTCCATATCAAACTATTGTTTACCCCTCAAGGGTGTAATATTAGCCTAACTCTAGAAGACTATTAGCAAAAGTTGTTTGTGCAGGGTGGTATTTTGTGTACTGAATAGAGATTCTAAACTCTAGAAGGGAAAGGGAATGACTGAAAGGTCTGACTAAGATTGGCTAAATGGTGTATGTTCACATAAATATTTCACACATACTAAAACATTCAACCAAAAAAGGACAAAACTTGGACTATTTATCATAAAAGCTATTTGTACTTAATTTTGTACAAACTATATAACTATATCACAAAAGTTATACCTATTTACTAAAGGGTAAAAAATCTTAACAGCCATTAAATTGTTACTCGTGTCGACTTTTGACTATTAAACAATTTTTCGAAAAAAATTAGCCGCTAAATTAACTGAATAGTACAGTTGTGACAATTTCATTGATTATTGCTCCTAATCTACAAAATAATCAAAACACATGTCAAAATGTAAGGGTATATTTGTTCACTATGGGTTTTTTTTTTTTTTTTTTTATCAAAACACAACTCTGATTATTTTGTAGATTAAGAGCAATAATCGATGAAATGACAATGGGTGTGCTTATTAGTTAGTTTAATGGCTAACTTTTTGTTTTGCTCTTTTTTATGTGTTAAGTAATTCACTAATTTTTTTTTTGGCACACCCCATACAATTCACTATTATTATTAAGATTAATTTTCTATACATTGATAGTTTATATACTATTAGTTTTGAATAAATGAAAACTTTCAAAATTAAATTTAAAATATAAAACTTTTGCATGTATATCGTAGATTCAACGATAATAGTGTATATATTGTTAATATATATAAGAATTTCTCTTATTATTATATATTATTCTCATTCAAAAATTATTGGCATTTTTATTGTCTTACAAAAGTGCCCTCATAATATAGGTTTATTAACTTCACATCTTCCAATAATTTCCACAAATTCTTCCTTTTTTGTTTTTTTGGCTATTTTTATTCCCCGAATTGGAAGAAATGTGTGCACTGACAAACATTTGATGAGGCAGCATGCCAGCAGCTGTCCTGTTCTACACACTTTCCCAAAAAAATTGCAACTTTATCAGCCATTTCCAGTTCCGCCGGCATCTTGTAAGTTTTATCATCTGTCAACGGAAGCTCTTCTGATTTCGGCCGTTAGTATGTAGAAAAAAAAAACCCAGCAATCTTTCCCAAAAATGTCGTCTCCGATCACTCAAATGTTCCACATTCCGACGTGCTGTTTCTTCCTTCACTCTCTTAGCTGACAGAAATGCAGAGGTACTTACAGCTCCCTAATGGGAAAATAAAGAATGACCCATATTTTAATTCTTAGTTTTTCTGCAGAATGGTTTGTTGTTTTGACTTTTTTGTACAATCTGGTAAGTGGGTTATTTTCATTTTTATGGATCTTGTCCTTTTCTATAGAGAAATGGCATGCATGGATATGGAACTTTAGCAGAAAAAATGGTTTCTTTTTTGCTTTTATATTGCAGAATTATAAACGATGACTGTAAATTTGCTGGTGCGTTAGTGACCAAATTGGCTTCCGTTGTTTAAGAACTAACTAGCTTCAAATATTTGATGAAGAAGAAAAAACTGACCAAAATGATGGTTTTTTGAGTTCCATATCTAACTAAAGTGTTCATGGAAATTCCTGTTATAAAGACAAAAACTTGACCAAAAAAGTTAAAGGCCCACCCAAAATAAGGATGGATGCAGTGATTTTATTGCTTTCAGGGTAAATAGTTTGAAGTTTGAAGTTCAAGTCTCTTGTCCATAAAAGCAAATCAATGTACTGAGGACACAAAGTATAGTTGCTCATATAAGTTGGGAAATTTTGAATATCAGCATTGTGGTATGAAAGGCTCTTTTTGGTAGTTAGTAGATTCTAGCAACTCTAGTTGCTTATTTTTGTACTCTGACTATTTTTGGGATGCATGTATGGCTTCTCTTTTTTGATTAACTATAACTGATTAGGACCCTGCTTTCTGTCCAGGTAGAAAAATGATAACATTAGATAAGAGTTTGGACAAAATGAGTGTTTTGAAGAAGATATCTGAAGCTCTGGCTACCAATGAAGCCAAAAAGGACCGGCTTAAAAATTTTATTCTGTTGTTAATGCTTGAATGGGAAGATTTTGAGAGCCACTTGGATTTAACTGGCTTGCTTTTCCGGGAATGCTTAGCTGAACTTCAGTCCAGAGAGACCCATTTAAGCTCAGTTCAAGAATCAGTGAGTGAAAGTTCAAAAGAAATGGATATGACAAGGAAATCTCTTGAACAAAAGTTTGACGAATTAGTTGAAAAAGAGAAGGAATTTTGTTTATTTCAAGAAAAAGGGAGTAATGAATTAAAATTGCAGGAGGAGACATTAGGTATGATTCGTGAGGAAATTGAGGTGAGAGAGTTAAAATTGAATGAACAAGAGAAATTGATACAAGGGCTTTTTGATAAGATTGAGCTGGAGCAAAAGGAATTTGAGAGTATTAAGAGTTCAGTTGGAGACAGGTTTAACGAAATTGGGTTAAAGGAGTATCACATAGAGCAAAGAGCTAATGAACTTGATTTGAAAGAGCAAAAGTTGATGCATCGTGAAAAGGAGATTGAATCAAGGGAAAAGATTTTGTATCTAAAGATGAAGGAAATTGAACTTAAAGGGAAACAATTTGATTCTGCTAAAATCTCCAATAAACACTTGCAAGATTCTGGTTCTGAAGCAAAGCATGGTCTTCACCTGAATGAGGAAGAAAGTTTAGCATGCACAGAACGGGGAAAGCAATTGACAGATGCTGTAGGGCATATAGCATCTCATAATATGCAAAATGTTACTGATCACAAGAGTAAAAAACTGCTAGATTCATCAGTTGATTCGACAACAATCTGGGAGTCTTGCTGCTTTTTTTGTGATGTAAGGAAAGTGCTCTTCAAACGTGGCCTAAAAAAAGATTTCTTCTGCCAGAACTGCTCAAAATATTACGTTGCTTTTTCAAGTGCAATGGGTTATGAGGAGAATGGTAACATTAAAATGCTCAAGTCATGCACAGCGACTGAAAGGAATGGTGATGTTCTTGGGGATGCGAGGTCTGATGATAAAGATGGAAGTGTAAATCTACTGCATCTTGGCAAAGGAGATTATGATGTTCTGAGGATTGATCATTCATGGCATAGAGAATCCAGTGAATCAATAAACCAGAGCAGGAAAAGAGGGAGCACTGAAACAGGAAATGAGGTCATAGCGGCTGAGGAAGTTTTGGCAGACATTGATCACCATTTCCATTGCACGCCATTTGCACAATTGCTACCAATCTCTGAGAAAGGAAGAGAAAGTGGTGCTGATGACATCCCAAGCTCTTCAAAGAGGTTGCGGGTGAGCAATAATCATGATGAACAGAGCGAAGCAACGTTGCTTCAATGTTCAGCATGTGGCAATTCAACTGGTTTTTCTGCAGATGTGGATAATGGAAAGTTAAGAATAGGAGAGGGAAATTCTCCTATTGAACAAAGCTTGCAAGATTGTGATATTAATGATATTCCTGAATTTAAGGGAAATGCTCCTACCGAAGAAAGCTTGCAAAATTGTGATGTTATTGATGTGTCAGGATCAGGTTCTGCTGATCATTCAGTAATAGGAATTATGTATCCTCCGGGAGAATTTAATGATTTTGACAAGTACAGAGAAGAGAATTGTTTCTCCCCAGGTCAAATTTGGGCTTGTTATGATGATACTCATGATCCCATGCCAAGATTCTACGCCCAAATCATGAAGGTACATGTTCGCCCATTTAAATTGTGCATAAATTGGCTATATCCTCATCCAGGATATCAAGGTGGGATTGACTGGGTAAACAGGGACTTACCTGTGGCCTGTGGCGAGTTTGCACGCGATAATTCTGAACACATCACTACTTTTCGTATATTCTCTCATCAAGTAAATTATGATAAGAATATGGATAGACTAACATATACAATATATCCTAGAAATGGGGAGATTTGGGCCCTATTTAAGGACTGGGATATAAGGTGGAGATCAAATCCAGAAAATCACCCTAGGATGAGGTATGAATATCAATTTGTGGAGGTTGTCAAAGAATATGTTGAGAGTACTGCTGTCGAGGTTGCTTTCTTGGATAAAGTTGGAGGTTTTCTGAGCCTATATCATAGGAAAATCCAAGGTAAGCCAGTTCTAATACCGCCAAATCAACTACTAAGATTCTCACATCGAGTCCCCTCTTATACGATGCATGGCACTGAAGGAGAAGGTGTCCCAGAAGGATCTTTTGAACTTGATCCTGCTGCCATACCTCTGGCTCCTCAATGAGATTATTCTTAGTGAAGCTGACATAAATGCTGTAAAGGACTGAATCTGTGTTTATATGGAGCTTCTATCTCAGTTTTACATGTCATTAACTTAATCCTAGCACTGTTTCTCACAGGTCGGTGGCATCATGGACAGTTCTTGAAGATTTTTTGTTGCCTATCATTATAGATTCTGAAGCATGCAATTGAATTTGAACAGTACCCTGTCATTTTGCATATTCTGGTAGTCTGATGTTCTAGTTATTGTGGATCATTTTTCTTTATAAATTTCCTTCTGAATTTGATGCTTTCAATGATCACATGCTACATTATTATTCAAGTCAAGTAATTAACATCTTGCTTCTCACAAGTGCGTCAATTTTGCTTCCACAATTGTCCTTATCATGAAGTAAAGTAAATTTTGAAAATTAAGTGAAGATGTGACAGTTATAGTCTATATTTTGGCTTGTAGAACTCTGTAATCTTCCCCCATATGGTTGAACTTACATCCATGCTTTGGTTGGAGACATGCCTAAATCTTTGTGTACATACAGATAAGCCTTTACTGAATCAATGCCTCAAAAAGAAAGTTCTGATCTTTTAGATGCTCTATCTAAGATCAAAATGTTTTCATTTTCTTCTCTGCACCAAAATTCATCCTGGCACCTCTTTCTTTAACGAATGTCAATCTTCTCTGTCTCTCTCCCTTCTTCAACAAACGACAGTCTTCTCCATCTTCCTTCCTTTCTCAGTTTGTTCTATTTGCTGAATATTTTGGCTGTTCTGGTAGCCTTCAGGCAGAAATTTTGAGGCGATGACTGCCTCACAGTTAATTTGCGTCAAGTTTGAGAACTCATTTGTCATTGTAGGAGGGGCACAAACAATGAGCACAGTGGTTCGAGTTTGTGACTCTGACATTAGTTTCTGACCTGTAAAACCCTTGTTCTTTAGTACTATGGCCCTCTTTCTCGTAATCTTGTATCTATATTGTTTCTTTTGCATGTAATTTCTTACAGGAATAAGAAGGGGAGAAGAAAGTCTGTGGACAATGTAATTTCTTTTTTGGAATTTTATTAATTGATTTGTCTATATTTCTGATAAAAAAAAGGCAATATTTGAATAAAAAACCCCTATATTTTGTAATATAAGAAACTAATGTCATATACAGTGATTAACCACAACTTGTTTCAGGGGACGAGAAATTCTGAGGATGTGCTACTTTAGTATTTCAAGGTTAATGTCATGATTTTGTTTTTCTGGTAGTGTCATTTTCTCAATCCTGATACTATGGAGTACATGGAAAGATTCAGGCATTTTTGCTACTTATGAATGTATTCCAAATGTCAGATATAATATGCAAAAATGTAGCTGGCAATGTTCCTCTGTGAGTACAGAAACAGCCAAGTGCTGTTTGGGGAATTTTGTGGACAACCTGCAGTCTAGTGTGCGTTCTTCTGCCGTTCTTAAGTACTTCTATACAACGTGTATGATTGTTAAGAATAATGATTAATGCTTAAAACTTGTTGACAATAAGCTTTCAACTAATAAACAATAAACTCTCAATTCCTCTTTCAGGAGGACTAGGAATGAAAGACCGTACTGATTACTTCTTTCTTGCAGAATATTACATCCTGGCACAGTGTCTGATCCTTCAATAAAAAGCAAAAAGACAATATATATATATATAGAGAGAGAGAGAGAGAGAGAGTCTTAGGAAAAGGTTACTTCCATACTTGGATCCAGTGATTGTATATCATCTAACGATGAATTAGACCTGTTAAATTATGTTGTATCCTTCTTTGATTGAAGTTCAAGATCCTATAATCAATGTGGATGAATCTTTGCCACACAACTAAAAGATATTTAATTTCATATTGGACAACTTCAATTTGTAACATAATGAGTTTCATGTTTGGAATAATTACTCACTCATAGCTTATAATGTTTCAATGATGAGACTTTGAGTGAACTTACAATATAATCCCCATGCAATATATATTTAATCATGGGGCACAGGGAGTACATAACTAGGGTCAATTGCATGGCAGACACAAGCAAAGCACAAGGAAAAGGAAAACCTACAGACTTGGGAATTCCCAAGCCTTCCCACCATTAAATTTTGTACCACAACCATTGCAGGAAGATTTGTATCTACTTTTTCGGACAGACCTAAGGGGATGCTCATGATTGGCGACTTGAATGGTGCTACCAAACTTCACATTACCATCCTTACCAAGTCGAGGAATACATCTAGGATGAAAAGATTGATCACATTCGCGACAATGATATATCCAAGTTTTGGGGTGTATCTCATCTTCGCAAACCTCACAGTAAAGTTCATCTGGATGATCACTGAACGGTGGATGCATCAAAAGAATAGGGTGTTTATCCCATCTATGCTTGACTGCGCCTGGTAAAGTAGCACACCATTGATGCAAAAAGAAACCGCAACGACATCTATAGTAAGCATTCGAGCTTGTTATCTCTTCTCTACAGGCATGACAGTGCATTGATGGGCTTTGCCTGTAACTTCTTGCATGCCATAAAATGTGTTGTTTGTGAAGTTTGTAAACCATTTGCTTTCCAAACGAAAAGATGACACAGTTGAATGGATTTTGATACGGCATTCTTCACAGTCGAAGAAAAAGCCATTACCTTTAGTATCACACCACGAGCAATAAAAGTACCCCAACTCATTTCTAAACTTTTTCAGGGTTAAAAGGTGACCATAACAGCAAACATGATACAATCTTTCAGGTGAAAAATTGGCACAGGTTAAGTGCAGCATGTACTTACACTCGGCACAAGTGTAGTACGGAGTTGAAATTGGTTGGATGCATCCATCGCATAACATTTCCTCAGTATCCTTTTCGTTCTCCACTGGCTGAGTTGAAGAAAGGATTAGCGGATGGCTGTGACTGAAATGTTTAATCTCCGGCAACAATTTTAACTCTTCTTTCATCCTTTTCTCCATCACAGGTTTGATCATTTCATCGAACACATCATTGCAGGGCAGCCTCAGATCATTAGGACCAGCATCAGCATCATTATGATCATAATCTATGCGACTCCCAAATCTTAACAAAAAATCAATTAATGCAGAAAAAAGTCCAAATGAATATCATGAAACAAATGTCATTCAAAGTAAATTACATTAATGCAGTAAAGACAAACCTGACATGGATGCTTAGGCAGTAGACATGGACAAAGTATCTACAACGACCACAATAATAAACCCACTCTGATGGCTTCAATACTTTTCTGCAAAACTCACATTCAAAATTATAGCGTCGAAATTCAAGTGGAAGTTGGTAAGCCAAGGTGAGGGGGTGATCATGATCATGATCCTCAAGTCCTTTGATTGTCGGTAATGAAGCACATTCTTCATGTATCCAAAATGAGCAGGTAGTACACATGTAAGACGGGGTATTAATGTCACTATATGGAACAAACATCAGGCTGTCACAAGCACAGCACTTGCTTGACTTTTCCTTTTTTACTAGTGTCAGGGGATGTTGGTGAACATCGTGTTTGATGATCCGTCAATTTGAAACTTTCAGAGCACATTCTATGCATATGTACAGATTACATTTTGGACAACTGTAACTGAAACCAGAGAAATCTTGCCAGCAAGCATCACACCGGCGCAGGGATTGAGCCAAAGTGGTGAATTTAAGAGGATGAGCTGAGTGCATTGGATGTAGAATCTCCTGATCAGCCAACTTTGCACATGTCTCGTGGAGACAGGTGCAATCACACTGTCTGCAGAAGTAGGCCGGCAATGAAATGGATTTCCGACACATATAACAATTATAACTGGGCAACTTTTCCTTTTCTTCTTCTTCAAACATACCCTCAGACTTGAATTCCAGTGGATGCTCATGGCCAAAATGTTGCAGCTCCATTCTCCTTCTGCTTTATCCTATAATGTCTTGTGACTGAATGTGTAACTGAGAGTTCAAGGTAACCAGTTGAACTTATGACTGCGTACAAAATAAAATGAAACCAGCGGTGAAGAGCATATTCCTTGATTGCTCTGGCAAGTAACTAGCTTGGTCCACTCTCATCCTCTTTTTCTTTCTTTGACATTATGTTATTTGTGCAATATATTCTGTTAGTCGGAGAATATCGTGTTTAGTTGATCCTTTTTCTAATTTATAGAGTATTAATCATGTACTGTAAAGGGTAGATTCTTTTTCTTTTTTCAATTTTAAAAGAATTTTTCTCTCTTTATGAAGTTCCTTATGCAATTCTTCTGTTGCACAAAATTCTGAGTTAAGTCGAGCAAGACACATGAGTCTAATGTTGAAGTCAACAGCTTAAGAAAGCAGGCAAGTATATCTTAATTACTATAGGTGCTGATCATTGTTGCAGCGATTTAGGCACCTAACATGAGCAAAATATCTGCTATATCTATCTCTACAGGAGAACCATATTCCAGGTTCCATGTGCATCATGCTATAAATAAGTAGTAATCATTAATCATCAAATAATACTTTATCTACTACCCACTAGACAAGATATAGTCCACTATCATTATTTAGCAATTCTTTACTAATTTTTGTAAATGTCAATGTCAAGTAGTGCATATTATGTATCTAATATTTTTTTTTTTCACGTCTATCAGTGATAAATGTAAATTAATAGTTATAAGTCTTTACAACAAACATGACATTCAAATTTATAACAAATAATTCCGAAGTAAAATATTAGCCTAGGTAGTCGGGGTGGTCATGATGGTCACATCTCGGTCTTTCCTAATTCACGAAGCTGCACAACATTTGTGAATTCATGATGCACAAGTGGTATACGAGTAAGAATAAGATTGATACATACATGGAGTGCCTTAAATTAGGTTTGTTTAAAACAAAATAGTGTTCCTGACTCGCATTGGTAATTAGCACTTGATTTGTTTGGATAGAGTATTATTTGAAATAATTACTGTAACACTTTTTGTGATGTGATGTATGTGAGATAAAAAAATGGTTGGGAATATAAAAATGTGGATTAAAAAATGTGTATTTATAATGTAAGCAAAATATTATTTGAAAAAAATAATGTATCCAAACAAATTTTTTTTATTGGGCATAGTACCTTCATTTGCTTTATTATCAATTTTATCCATGCCTAATCCTCTTTTCCTTTTCTCCAAGATATCAGTATCGTTATTCTTCAAACTGTGACCCTACTTTATGTGGAATCACCACTGTTACTGTGTGAGAAATATATAGAAAAATTCACCCAAAGTTCTTTTCTTCTTAACATGGTATCAAA